GGGGTAAAATGGTGAAGGGAGCCACTAGGTTGGGAGTTGGGTCTTGGAACATAGGAACTTTGACTGTGAAGTCTATAGAGTTAGCGAAGATTCCATGGAAGAGGAAGATTAAAATAGCTTGTGTACAAAAGACTAAATGGGTAGGATATAGGGCACGAGATGCGGATGGGTTTAAACTATGGTTTTCTAGGAGCAAGGGGGGGCAGGAACGAGGTTGGTATTTTGGTTGATAAGGACCTGAGGGATTTAGTGGTAGAGGTTAGGAGAGTGAGCGGCAAGCTAATGAGTATTAAGTTAGTTGTTGGTGGGTTTACTTTGAACAGAATCAGTGGGTACGCACCCTAGACAGGCTTGGATGAGGAGGTCAAGAGGTATTTCTAGGAGGATTTGGATGAGATGGTGCGCGGTATGCTGCACACAGAGAAACTTTTTATTGGATGAGATTTGAACGACCACATTGGAGCGACGTCTCGGTGCTATGATGATGTACATGGTGGTTTCGGTTTTGAAAATAGAAGTGGAGGGAGTATTTCGCTGCTGGATTAAGCTAGAGCATTTGATTTGCTGATAACAAACTTTGATTTTTCGAAGAGGGTGGAACATTTGGTCACCTTCTGGAGCTCGGTGGCCAAGACCCAGATTTACTATATACCCTGCAGGAGATCCAATAAAGGTCTTTTCATGGATTTCAAGGTCATCCCCAGTGAGAACCTCACGACCCTTCATAAACTCCTGGTGATGGATCTCGAGATCACGAGGAAAAAGAGGACGAGGGTGTTATATGGCCAAGCTAAGATCAAATGGGAATCCTTGACTAAAGACAAAGCATGGGAGTTGGGGGTTAAGTTGTTGACGATGGTAGCTTGGAGGAGTAGTGAAGATGCGAGCCTGATGTGGACCATGACGGCACAGTGCATTAAGGAAGCTGCCAGAGAGGTATTAGGGGTCTCGAAGGGTTACTATGGTGGTCGCAACGGAGACTTATGGTAGAATAGAGAGGTCCAAGTAAAGGTGAACACCAAGAAAGCAGCGTATTTGAAGTTAGTAGAAAGAATTGACAAGGAGGAGAAGATGTTGAATATGGAGCGGTATAAGTTGGCTAGGAAGCAGGCAAAGTTAGTAGTTACGGCAGCTAAGACTGCAACATTTAGTCGTTTATATGAAAAGCTTGAGGGTAAAGGCTGGGATAAGTTGATTTTTAGGTAAGCCAATGTGAGAGATAGAAAGGCCCGTGACTAGGACCAAGTGAAGTACATCAAGGACAAAGAAGGTAATGTTTTGTTGGATGAGGCGCATATCTGTCAGAGATGGCAAACTTACTTCCATACTCTCTTGAACGAGGAGGGGGACAGAGACACTGTTCTGGGTGATTTGGGATCCTCCAAGAGTCGTTGTGACTTTGGCTATTGCAGGCAGATTAGAGTTGAGGAAGTTGTGGGTGCTATGCATAAGATGAGCAGGAGCAGAGCGACCGGGCCAGATAAATTCCTGGTGGAGTTTTGGAAGAGTGTGGGCAGAGCGGGCTTGGAGTGGCTTACTACGTTATTTAATGTCATTTTTATGATGAAAAAGATGCTCGAAGAGTGGAGATGGGGTGCGATGGTTCCTTTGTACAAGAATAAGGGTGATATCAAAAAATTGCAATAACTATCGAGGAATTAAGCTGCTTAGTCATAGTATGAAGGTGTGTGAGAGGGTGGTGGAGCTAAGGGTGAGGAGAAGTGTGTTTATTTGTGATAACCAGTTAGGGTTTATGTCGGGATATTTGACTACGAAAGCCATTCACCTTGTTAGGAGATTGATGGAACAGTATAGAGAGAGGAAGAGGGGCTTGCATATGGTGTTCATCGACTTAGAAAAGACTTACGATAAAGTTTTAGGAAGGTTTAGTGGAGATGTTTGGAGGGTAGAGGGGTACCTGTTGCCTATATTAGGGTGATTAAAGACATGTATGATGGAGCAAAGATCTGTGTGAGGACAGTGGGAGGGGTCCCGAACCATTTTCCAGTCATGATGGGGTTGCATCAAGGGTCGGCACTCGGCCCATTTTTGTTTTCACTAGCGATGGACATACTGACTAGCCACATCCAGGGGGAGGTTCCATGGTGTGTTTTATTTGAAGACGACATTGTTTTTATTGACGAGATGCGAGACGGTGTTAGCGCGAGGTTAGAGGTGTGGAAAAAGACCCTGGAGTCTAAAAGTTTCAAGTTGAGTAGAACCAAGATAGAATACTTGAAGTGTAAGTTTACTGGTGCTACTTAGGGAGTGGAAGGAGAGGTTAGGCTAGATTCACAAGTCATCACTAGGAGGGGAAGTACCTTGGATCTATTATACAGGGGGGGTTGGGGGTGGAGAGATTGATGAATATGTCGCACATCGTATTGGGGCGGTATGAATTAAATGGAGACTTGCTTCCGGTATTTAGTATGACAGGAAGGACCACCAAAATATAAAGGTATATTTTATAGAGTGGTGGTTAGACCGGCTATGTTGTATGGGGATGAGTGTTGGCCAGTCAAGATCTCCCACGTCTAGAAGATGAAGGTAGCAGAAATGAGGATGTTGAGATGGATGTGCGGGCACTCCATGTTAGATAGGTCTAGGAATGAAGTTATTCGGGACAAGGTGAGTGTTTCCCCTATTGAGGACATGATGCGGGAACAACGTTTGACAATAAGAAGCACATACGCCCTGGTAAGGAGGTGTGAGAGGTTGCTATTGGAGGGCCTTTGGAGAGTTAGAGGTAGGCCGAAGAAGAGTTGGGGTGAGGTGATTAGGCAAGCCATATAGGACCTACAGCTGACCGAGGACATGACCCTATATAGGAAGGTGTGGAGGTCGAGGATTAGGATAGTAGGTTAGGTACTCTAGATTATCCATACCGGTAGTGTTAGTATGTATTCTCGCATTTGGTTGGTATTAGGTTTCTTTGAATATCTGTCATTCTTTTTTTTGCATTTAGATCATCTTACTATCTTATAATGTATGCTTCTTTTACATGGTTTCTCGGTGTTGTCTGGTCTTGTTTTCTTGTTATTATTGTAGTACCAATACTTTCCTGAGCTGAGGGTCTATTAGAAACACCTTCTCTACCTCCACAAGGTAGGGCTAAGGTCTACGTACACACTACCCTCCCCAGACCCCACTATGTGAAATTATACTGGGTATGTTGTTGTTGTTGTTACTTGCTATAAGCTGTACAATTTAATCAATTTAACGAGTACAGAATAATAATTTGATCAAGTCTTAAACAACATAAAGAATGTGTCTGTGTTCAATTACTCAAGTTCTCTGTTCAGTCAATGATACAACATATAAAGATGATATGAAAATAAATCAGAATAATAGCTTTGAAAATTGAAAGTAAAGATGAAATGCAAAATTCAAAACAAACACTAACCATATTTTCGAAAATAATTCCACAGTCGTACCAAATGACTGGTCATTTTTTCTCAAATCTCCGTGTACACCATCAAGAGAGAAACATGAGAGGGTGACCCTAGGTTGATGGATCTATATCCACACACTACACAGATAACTCACGTGCTAGTAATATCAATACCAAATACCTGGATCTGCACGGACAACTCACGTGTCGCACGGTCAACTCACGTGCCAATAATATCAACCGCACATCCGACTCATGTGCTAATAATCACAATCCGCCCGGTGTGGTCATAAGTTACTAGTCAAGCTCATAACACACAAAAAGCAAATATATGATATTTCATGTACATGATCAATAATTATCAAGTTTCATACTCTTGGACTAATATAAATAACATGCTATAGTGTAGGCATATGCAATTTGTGCTATCATAGCTCAAATCGGCAATTTCATCACATGAATAGCAATTGTCAAGTTCATTCAGAGAATTAGCCACTATGTAACCTCAAACATTTCTCAAATAGTTCACAATAAGGTTACAAATATGAGAAACATTATAGCTTAAAGCTTAACAGTCAATTCTAGGCATATCATAGCCAAAACACTACCCCGAGCATGAATGAATGCCCCGATGCTCGCATATGGGCTCAAACCCCACACATATGCGTACCTGTAGCATGTAGCTATCACAAATAATTCAAACAACTATTGCCTCACCCGATTTTAGGTAGAATATTTACCTCAAGCAAGCCAAATCACACTTCTAACAAGCCCTTCCCGCGGGAATCCAACTCTGCATGGTTTGAAACTAGCCAAAATAACTTAATACCATCAACAATAACCATAGGAAACAATTTCAAAAGATAAAGCTAAAGTCTTGAATCACATATGTAAAGTCAACCCCTGACTCGCACCCCAAAACCCGACAAAATTCACAAATTTCGATCACCCATTCAATTACAAGTCCATCCATACTAATTTCATCCAATTACATCCCCAAATCGACCCTCAAATCACCAAATCTCACTCTCCAATGCCATGGTAAAAAATCCCCAAATTTAACTTCAAATTCACCTAAACTAGGTGTAATAATCTAAGGATAATCAATATTTATTGATAAAAGTGTCTAAAAGTCACTTAATGTTGGCGACAACTTTTGACCCTCCTTTTAAAAATTAATTTATTTGTACTTAATAATTTGAAATAAATGTGGTGAAAATATTTTCTAATCAATTAAACCTATTTTACTAAAAGTACTTATGCTACACCTTGCACTTCATGTGCAGATCCAGGTGTGTTTGATTACGGAGGTCGTTGGGTTCGTGCGCGATCGAGTACCGAAGACTACGCGGTAGCTGCCGGCGTCCGCAGACCTTGTCTCTCCTTCTATGTTTTCTTCCTTTTCTGTATTGATTCTAAGACACAATTTGTATTAGTCTGGATATATAGATTCTCATGACTCAGTGACACCCCGATGTCGGGCTATTTTTCCGAACTTATTCTTTGGGTTTTACCCCGTTTTTATGAAAGACTCCGGTTATTTTAAATATATTAATTCATTTCTGTAAAATGTTGGAAGTGTTTTGGATATGTCGGCTTGCCTAGTATCACGATAGGTGCCATCATGGCGGGTTAGGTTTTGGTTCATGACAAGTTGGTATCAGAGTCCAGGTTACATAGGTCTATCGAGTCATAAGCAAGGTTAGTAGAGTCTTGCGGATCAGTACGGAGACTTCTGTACTTATCTTCGAGAGGATGCAGAAACCTTAGGAATTTTTTTTTCACATTCTTGAATTCTTGTCGTGCGAATCTGTTGATTCTAGTGACTAAATATCTGGTGTTTGATTCTCTCACAGATGGTGAGGACTCGTACTACGGGGCAGGACGGACAGCCACCATTACCTCTAGCCAGGGCCGCGAGAGGCTAAAGTTGTGGTAGAGGCCATGATAGGGGCAGAGGTGCAGCCCGCATAGCAGCTGAGCAGTACCTGCATACCCACCAGTTGCCCCAGTCTAGGAGCATGCACCAGTTGTGGATGAGCCTGTGGGACCAACTCAGGCACCACCTGTGCCTATTGTGATTCTAGGCCTTCAGGAGGCCTTAGCTCAGATTCAGACCGTGTGTACCAGTCTTGCTCAGGCGGTCTCTGTTCTGCCCCAGCAGCCACTTCTCAGGCCGAGGGAGGCGCTCAAATTCCCGCCGCCCGCACACCAGAGCAGGTGGTACAGGGATCTCGGACACCGGGGAACCACCGGCCCAGTATGTTGCCGCAGCTCAGGATTATGTGGTTCCTGCTATGCCTGAGGATGAGAAGCGTAGATTGGAGAGGTTTCGGAGGCTCCAGCCTTCATCTTTCAGTGGTGTAGAGGGAGAGGATGCACAGGGTTTCTTGGACAGGTGTCATAGGATACTCCGTACGACAGGTATTCTGGAGACTAGTGGGATCTCGTTCACAGTGGTAGGTGGCTTACGAGAGGCGTAGGCCAGTCGGCACAGCACGCCGCGCAGGGAGTTCGAGCAGCTTCGTCAAGGTGATATGTCCGTGATGCAGTATGAGATGAGATTTTCTGAGTTGGCCCGTCATGCTATCTGGTTGGTTCCCACAGACAGATAGAGGATCAGGAGGTTCATAGATGGCCTCACTTTTCAGTTGCGATTGCTTATGACTAGAGAGAGAGTGGCTGGTGCTACTTTTGATGCGGTTGTCGACATTGCTCGTCAGATTGAGATAGTTCACAGCTAGGAGCGGGTTGAGAGAGTGTCCAAGAGGCCTCGTGGACAGGGTGGATTTAGCAGTGTTCCTTCTAGGGGGCACTTCCTCCATGGTAGGGGTCGTCCTTTCAGACATGCTCATACGGCTCGCCCAGTTCACTGTGGTGCATCATCTGGCCATGGTTCACACAGTTAGCAGTAGGGCCATTCATCTCTCAGTGCCCTCCCAGCTCAGAGTTCGTCCCGTGCTCCATCGAGTCATGGATCGTTTATGCTAGGTCCATCTACAAGTTATCTGGTACTCGGGGCTCCCTTCAGTCCCCAGCACCAACACCGGGGAGTTGCTATGAGTGTGGAGAGTTCGTCCACATCAGGAGACATTGTCCCCGCCTTACGGGAGGTCCGGCTCAGCAGAGGAGCCAGTCTATGACATCAGCACCGGTTTCTTCACCACCCACTCAGCCAGCTCGGGGTGGAGCCCAGTCAGCTAGGGGTCGCCTGAGAGGGGGCGGCCAATCAGGGGGCGGCCAGGCCCATTTCTATACTCTTCTTACCAGACCAGATGCTATTGCTTCGAATGCTGTGATTGCAGGTATTGTCTCATTTTTCCATAGAGATGCCTCTGTATTATTTGACCCTGGTTCCACTTATTCATATGTGTCCTCGTATTTCGCTCATTATTTGGTTATTGCCCGTGAGTCTCTAGTTGCATTTATTCGTGTATCCACTCCAGTAGGCGATACTATCATTATGGAACGTGTATATTGGTCATTTATGGTGACTATTGGGAGTCTAGAGACTAGATTGGATAGCTTGTTGCTTAGTATGGTCGATTTTGTTACAACCCAAATTCGCATATCATAGATCACGCCGTAAGGTAGTCGACGTAAATCCA